TTCCAACCTCTGATTGCCCACGGGTGACACCCACTGCAGGGACATGTGAGAGCCAGGTGCCAATGCTTCACGCTGACACTGGGTGTGGAGCTCGTACAGAGCCTGTGGTGATCACACAGCCTGCCTTGGAGTCTTCTGTCCCCTTCAGTCTCCACTTTCTCCACTTTAGTTCCACTTAGGGGGAACAGTTCCCCTTCCTGTTAATAAATTTCAGTTTTGCACTGGAGCACACAACCCACACTGTAATCCATCTCCACCTCCCTCTGCACCTCCCTTGCCCAGGAGATCCCAGCTGGCCCCTTCCAGACCTTCCCTGCTGGCCTCTCCCAGGCGCCAGCCCCATCAGCCAGCACTGTCCCCAGTGCATCTTGTGGCTGCTGAGATGGGAATCCGGGCTAGGAGAGGACTTCTGGAGCCAGGGATAACTGTGTAAGCCCTGACTAACCACAGGGAACCACCCAGCTCCTGAATCTGCCTCGCCTGATCTGTCAGGAAGAGTTTGCAGCCTGACTGCTGCTGCCTCTGCCCCCCCCCAGCCAGGCCTGTATGGTTGTGTTCGAGGGTGCCAGGACGAGGGAAGAGAGGAGAATCTTGACTCCATGTTTCAGAAGGCCGATTTATTATATTATGATATATATTATATTAAAATGCTATATTAAAACTATACTAAAAGGCATAGAAAGAAAAGATTCGTCAGAAGCTAGAAAGGACAGGAGAGGAATGGAATGAATAACAAAAGCTCATGACTCTCAGATTCTGACACAGCTGCATCTTTGATTGGTTATTAAGTAGAAAAAACTCACATGAACCAATCACAGATGCACCTGTTGGTAAACAATGTCCAGACCACATTGCACCGCCATCAGACAGTTAACTGTTTACATTTCTTTTCTGAGGCTTCTCAACTAGAATAGGAGAAAAATCCCAGCAAAGGATTTTTCATAAAATATCATGGCAACAGGGCTGAGTGTGGTGGATGCAAACACAGCTTTCTGCTGGGTGAGCTGGAAGGGCTGGGAGCAATGCCTGCTTGGATTACACCCCACTGCAGCTCCGTGGTTTGTACACAATGACAAAATTGGACTGGCTGTGGGTTTGCAGCTCTAGGTAGCTCAGCTTCTTCTGCATCACTCGCTTCTGGGAATGGTCAAACAAGATGAGTTTTGGTTGAGCAGCTCGTGTTTTTGGAAAGTTTTTTATGTTGGAAAATGTGATTCATGGGTTGTGGATTTTCTGGCGAGATAAAAAGTTTGCAAACAGATCTGTTCAGCTCAAAATCTCTTCCTGGATTGCTGTTGTTCTAAAATAAAATCAGTCTATAAAACGTTCAACTCAAACTTCAAGGCACTTTTTCAGCAGAACGCTCTTTGTCCCCTCCCCTGAAAGGCTCTCAATGAAATATCTGGGGATTTTTTTTTCTTTGAACTAAAAAAAAGCCACAACCAGTTTCTATGTTGGTTTTCCATGGAGGATGGGAAACCAACGAGTTTTTCTCACTGGCTATAAATAAGATTCCCCCCAATTTCCACAACTGACCAAGGTGTGTAGGTATCACCCCTTTCCACATTCCCCATGCTGGATCCCACCTTGAGGGCCCACAGATCCATTGCTCAGCACTGAAAAGATGCAGCTGATTCCTTCCTCCTTTCCCTTTCACTGTCTCTGCCTTTTGGGGTGTAGCCAGCACCAGAAGGAGAATGAAATGAGTGAAAAAAGCTGTTTTGTTCTTTGCCAGCTCAGTTGGAACTGGGAAGCACTGGAAGTCTCCCAACTAAGTCCAGCTTTGGAAGACCTCCAGCCCACTTTGTCGGGGCCTGAGGCTCCAGAGGTTCTGCAGAGTGGCTGAACTTCTGGGAAATGCCACATACAACCCAAAGACTTCAGCAAAGCAGGGTTGATGGGAATTGGAAGAGTGTATACCTGACTGAGGGAAAAAAAAATATTAGTCCAGAAGATCTGAATTTATATATTCTTGGAGGGTCATGCTCAAGTTCATTTATGAGAATGCTGATAAACACGATTATAAATTATTTTAGGGAAGTCGTGGTTGTCTCTGTTCTGAATTTGCTGGTGAAGAGGAGGAGGAACACTGAGCAGGAGCACTGACAGGCTGACCTGCACACCAGCCCAGTGTACAGGACATTTATGCACCCTCAGTCTGGATACCCACAAACCTCCAGACACAGATCTCCAGTTAGCTCACAACATGAGGCCACAGAGGCTCTTCTGGACCTCAGGCTCCAAGTGTACTCCTGCCATTCCAAACAGCAAAGTCCTTCATGTCCCAAAGCTCTCAGGAGCCACAGATGCTGAGCTGGTGCCAGGTACAGGCACAGAGCACACACAGACCCTTGGGAGGGACTGCAGGGAGGTTTTACTCCTCCAGCAGCCAGTTTTTATTCCCTGGCACTATTGCTGCATTGGGGAGTTAACAGAAGTTTGGGGTTTTGGCATTTTTAACTGCTGACAGCTCCTGCTGATTTTCTAATCATGGTTTGAATCTTTGCCCAGCTCAGCCAGGAAGGCTCTGGAGCTACCTCCAGTGAGCAGTGAGAAAGGACTTGAGCACACAGGAGCCTTGAGGGGACAAAGAATGGACAGCATGGGCACCTGATGGGAATTTTCCATCCTGTTGTGCCTGGATTCCTGCCCCCAGGAAGTCAGGGCACACTCCCACCTCCAGCCCCTGCAGCTGAACTGTTCTTTAATGCCAGGATAACTTGTGGCAGCACTGACTGCACCTGGAATTGCCTCCACATGGCACAGACAGGCCACGTGTGCAGCCCTGGGAGCAGTTGTTGTGTTGGAGCACCAGGGTAAGGCTGTGCCAAGGCTGCCTCAGTAGAAATGTGTGGATCCAGGTTCCTGCCCTCCACTCCCATGGGACACCTGCTCCCAGTCCCTTCTTGTGGCCATGGTAACAAAGAAAATCCTGCTCACCAGGCACTCTCCACCCTATTGATTCATTGGGAGATTTATTGCAGAGACCTGATCTCTGTGAAGGAGCTAAATCCAATTCACTAAGGAATTACAAGCCTGTCCGATCAATAATCTATTTATCTCCTTCACTTTGCCATCTTTAAACACTCCAGCGCTGTCAAAAGAAATTGAAAGCTTTTTAAAAATAAAATTATTGGACTCTGGAATGGCTCTGCTGAGGCTTCTGGAAAACATCTTAAATCCAGGATGGATCCAGTTCAGATCCAGCACTGAGGAGAGGTCTGTCACAGCTCCAGTGACTCAACAGCAATCCAGCAAGGCAGGCAGAGATAGCAGGGGATCCTGGCACTCAACAGAGAAACAATCCAACCCAGGACATCCCAGGTGCATGGACATGCAGTGTGCAGGAGACACTGATGTCCAAGAAAGGATCACAGAGACATTGGAAGAGCCTAGGAGAGGCTCCTATACATGTGTGAGGGGCTCAGAGTGAAGATGCAGAGTCAGCCCCAGCTGGAAATATCTTACAGAGACCCCTGGAGCTGCAGGCTGCATTGGTTCATGACCTGGACACACCATGAAGCTGAATTTAATCAGCACATGGCTTCAGAAGCAGCCATGGAGTCTCCCAAGGGCAGAGGTGGGCTCCATCCCAGAAATAATGTTGGTTTCCAGCTCTCATGCAGCACTTCTAATTAATAGACCATAAAGCAGTTTGTGTGGAAGCAAACCCAGGCAGAGAGGAGACAGGATGAGCTGGGAGCCAGCGTCAGAGCAGGAGCAGGACCAGAGCCTCTTTGAAGAAGAGGAGTTTCCATCCATTTCCAAGCTTCCCAGATAATTTATCTGACAGATGCAGGCCCTTACAAACGCAGGGGGAACTGCAGGATCAGCTCGTACACATCAACTGCCTTCACAGCATGAGCTCCTTGCCAAAGCAATATTTGTGCACATAATTAAGCCTTTCTCCAGACCAACTCTTAAACAGAATATTATTTGCAGTCCCAGTGGGACCGATCCATATATTCTGCTGGCCAAAAGATGGGATTTTCTTTTTGGTAGAGTACAACTGGGGCATCACAAGCACAGTTTCTGGAGAGCAAGCCTGATGTTCACACCTGGAGTCAGAAGTGTTTGAGGAAGGCAGAAGTTCTGCTGACATTAATGGTGTTACACTGGTGCCTGTGGGGGATTTTGGCCCTTTTGGGATATTTGCTCCCCAGATTGCCCCATTTTTAACAGGTTCATGTAGCTGTATTTCTGAAATGGGACTCCTGTGCTGAAGCTGGGAAGGGCTAAAATTCTCCAGAGTGGGAGAGGGACCAGTTCCTCTCACTTCAGAGGTTAATGAAGAGAGTCACCAGGATAATTAATGTTTTACTGATGAATTAGTCTTTCTCTGAAGCAGTTCTGCCTTTCCCTGTGCAGAGTCAGGGTCCTCTGGTGCTGTGACACATCCCTTGCTTTGTCCTGACTCTTGGAACAGGCTCCTGTGCATCTGCCTCTGCAACAGGGGACTTGTGTTCCTGCGGGAGGGAAACCTCAGAGCCAAGAGCTGTGCTGGAGTTTGAGACACTCCAGACTGACAGCTGCCAGGATTAAGCTTTTTTTTCCAAACAGAATTAACACTTCCAGTCCCGACTTGGAGCACCTTGGCTGTCCCTGTCCTGAGCCTGTTTCATCACCAGCCACCCACCAGCTCTGCCAAAGGGCTTCACTTTTCCTCTGAAGAACCATCTGTCCTTCTCCTTGAATCCCTTCTCCTTGAGATTTTCCTGCCTTCTCCATCCCCCAGTTTTACTCCAGCCCTGACCCTAAGTCTGTTTATTGATCCTAAGTCTGACTCGAGTCACACTCCTTTTTTCAAGTCCTCTTTCTAAAGAGCATGACTGCAGCACTTCACTAAAGAGCAAATGCCCTTGTTCTCTTGTTATTGGAAGTGTGAGAAAGTGCGTGGTGACCATGCCAAAGAAATCAGTAACCTTTCAGTGGCAGTTTGTAGAGCACAGTGAAACATTGCAAAAAGCTGCCGTCACACAAGGACTTTCTCCCTTGGCTGCAGGCACATTTGAACTGTGATATCCAGGGGGTGGAAAGCTGAGAGTGATTTCACAACATTGTTCCTGAAATAATCCTGCTAAAGTCAAGAGGGCTCCTTGAACAGAGCCCCTGGAGTCCTACAGTGCTCAGAGTCACAGCAACATCATCTCTGTGTCCCACACAGAGGTTGAGGTGAAGAAAAGGCCCCTCTCCCCTTTGGGGTGAATTTGGCACCTCTCAAGATCACAGGTTGTCATCCTGGTTTGGCACAAGGCATGAACCTCATCACTGAGAGTTTTTGGCAGACTATTTTAGGGAAAGGATTTTGTATCGACACCTCGGATAGGATGAAGATATACTGTAAAGGTATGTAAGCCTTGGGTTTTCTGGTCAGCTCTTGTCAGAAAGAGAAAGCAGAATCGAAAACTTGACCTTTTTAGTGAAAAATGAATACTACAACATTTTGCTGTTTCACAGGGGAGGGAAACGTAGAGGTAATTTAAAAATCCTGAAGTGTGGCAAAACAGGGCTGCCATCCTCAGCCTGTACTCCTGAAAAGCTGAGGATTGGAGGTCGGCTTCTCCCCAGACTCACCCTGCCAGCAGTCACCTCTGCCCCCAGTCCTCAAAATCCCCTTTCCCCATCCTGCCTCACCTCCTGACGTGTTTGCAGCTGCCCCTCAGGCAGTCCCTTCCTCGGACACCCATCCATCTCTGTGGCCTTTCCTCCTGTCCATTTAAATGCCACCTGTGATTTATGGCCCGGCAGCTCCCAAGCACATGCTGGTGTGTTATGTGGCACTGGTGTAAGGCAGACTGCCCTCAGCCACACAGGAAGCAAACTAATTTATGCCTGGCTTTTTTTCTGTTTTTACTTATTTTATTCCCCAGCATAATTCTGGTTGTAATGTCCCATCTACACCACATCAATACCCTTTCACCGCCAGCAAGGGAAAACAAAAAGTAAATATTTCATTTCCCATTCCCTCCCCTCCTAAAAGGTTTTGCCAGAGCTGGCTCACCCAGCATGGCCCGGGGTGAGACAAATGGGAAGCGACTGTGGGCTGCCACAGGGGTGCTTTATGGGGAGAGCAGTGCCCACAAGTGTCAGGTTTCCAGGATAGCTGCTGTCTATTGGTGCATGAACAGAACAAATGCAAACATCTCCTGTATCAGGTTAAATTACTGGCCTGAGCTAATCCCAGGCTCCAATTCATCCCTAATTTATCAGTCTGCTGATGCCATTTGCTGCATGGAGCTCTATTCAGAGAGCACATCAAAGTGCTCCAGGAAAAGAGAATTAAAAAAAAAAAAAAAAAAGAAAAAAAAATAGACAGAGAGAGGAAGAAGGCTAAAGTGCTCCAGGAAAAGAGAATTAAAAAAAAAAAAAAAAAAAAATAGAGAGAGGAAGAAGGGTAACAAAATGTTATGCAGGAAGTATTAAAAGGCTAAAATAAATCTCTGGCCAGGGGCATTGACAAAATCTCTTGGCAGCTGGAGGGATTCGTATCCTGCTGGATCCAGGACATCTGCCACGAGTCTTTGCCTGACTGAGGAGCATTGAGATTCTCTCAGAGCCTCACCATGCTCCCCAGGCTGAGACACAAGCCCTGGAGTCCCGGGTCCTCTTCACATCTCCCTAAAATTGTGGGTCAGGGACAACCCATTTCACTGTCCCTGCATTTTTTGGAGAGAGGGTAGAAAGACAGTGATTTTGCTAAAAATTCCAGCGGAGTCCAGGTCTCCCAGAGTGCTGGAAACACAGGATAACGTTCCACTGACCCAGCTACCTCAGAGTTTTCACTTTTTCTTAGTCTGGAAGGAGATTTGAAGTCACTGGGCAGACCCTCAACAGAGGAGACCTCTATGCACACACAGCCTGTGAATTACAAAACTCCAGCAACTCAAAAATGTCACTGCACTGGGATTACACCACAGCCAGAGACTTCCTGCACTCCTGTGTGTGTCACTGTGGTGCTGAGCAGTGCTGAAGGGGGGATGACAAACCAGGGTAAGCCCTGATCCCTCCCTTCCCTGCTGAACACAGAACAAAAGGCAGAGTTTCCTCTGGAAATCAAGTTCCTGCTCTGGAGCTGCTTGAGATCATCGTTTGTTTTCCTCCAAAAAGAACTGCTGCAAGACAAATACCTCTCTGCAGACCACTGAAGTAGGTCACATTAGGCAGTGCTCTGGAGAGCTTGTCTGGCACTTCCCCATCAGCAAGCACTGCTCTGCTCATTTCTTTCCCTTTCCTCCCTCTCTCCCCCATCCCTCCTCTCCTTCCATCGCTCTAACTCTGCAAAAAGGGGACTCTGTGAAGGGGAAACATCTCAAGGAAAAGCCGTGCTCTGCTTTGGCAGCTGGAAGAATCAATGCAAACACAGTCTCTGCCTGCAGACAGCGGCTTGCACTGGCACAGCTTCAGCAGCCAGGCAAAATCCTGATGGTATGAGCAGAGCAAGGCAGGGCTGGGCAGGGATGAGCCCTGTGGGCCCCCAGGGAGCAGGACTAGGGTATAAGGACTGTACTATAAGGTCAAATATTATTTAAGTGATAGACATCAGGCACTGGAGCATCCTGAGGGATTTATAAATATTTATTTACTTTTCCAGAGCTGATGGACAGATGTGAAGGGTCCTCTGCTGCCCATGCCAAGGGGGTGACCAGGGACATCCCAGCTGGACTGCTGCCTTTCCTCAAACCTAAAGGAAGATCCCATCTCCTCCCTGAGGGCACTCCCAGCTCCAGCAGCACCTCCAGCACTGCTGTCTGCCCCTTCTCCCTCCCAGTGGGATGCCTGAGCCAGGAATCCCAGACTCCTTGTTTATTTTCCAGCTGGGAGTGATCAGCACCTTCAGGCAGCTCCAGGCTGGAATGCTGCCGGGATGTTACACCCCAGACAGGCAGAATGAGGGTGAGCTAAATACAGGCACTTGTTTCAGTTTATAAATTAGCACCCCCAGCCCACAGGACGGGCAGATGTAGCAAAGTTTGTGTGATTAAATGATAAAGTCTGGACATCACAGAGTAAGCTGGCCCAGGTGTGGAGTTACAATTGGCCAGAAAAAGCCAACATGAATTTTGGGATTTTTCTTCTCTTCCTTGGGCACTGTGCAGAGCTCAGGCAAAAAATCCACTCTCCTCTCCCTGTAAAGGCTGTAACACATCAGAGCCCCACTGCATCCCTGCATCCAGCATCCCCATGGCATTCCTGATAACCAGAGGGTCACAGCGAGAGCATTTAGTGCCCAGAGCCAGAGGAGTGATTCCAGAGCCAGCAGCTCTCAGGCTCTCCTGTGGGACACCTGGACAAAAATCTCAGGACCTCCTGCCTGCAAGAGGTACCACAGCCCCAGCAGTGTGTCCTGCTCCCAATGATAACCCAAAATCTATTTTGGGACTGTCTGGTCTTGAAAAGGGCTCTGCAGCTCCAGCTCTAGAGGAAATGCAACCAGGATTATACTAACAAAGAGGAAATTGAACTCAGTGGCTTGACGCTGTCTGAATTTTGAAAGAATTTCATTCTGGATGTTTAGGAAGCTTCTGTCTCTTGCAGATGAGCTGCATCCATTGCCAAATGTATGTCCTCTCAGAGAGAAAAATGAGGTTTATTTCTGTTACAAGCCTACAGGACTTGTTTCAGTTTTGCATATTTCTTTTCTAAATGGGAGCATTTTAGAGGAAAAGAAAATACTTCAAAAATCCTTCCTAAAAAGTGACTCTGAAAATGTTTTGATCTGATTGATCCATCAAGCAGTGGCTGAGGGAAAGGAAAAGATGACAGCTGCTCCTTTTGTTGCATGCTGTTCTGATTAGCCTCAGATAAGGTGCTCTCTCTCACCCCTGGCCCTCCACGTAGGGAATGCACAGAGCTCTGTAGGCTCCACTGAGGACACTCCATGTGGGAGCAGATCTCCTGCTGCTGGAAGGAAAAGATTTCTTTTTGCCCAGGACTGTTTGGAAAACCATGGTTGGATTTAAATTCAGAGTAAAAACAATAAAAATTTAGGGAAGACTTTAGGGGTTTTTCCAAAAGAGTTCAAAGGTAGCTCTGTGATCTGTTTTTCTGAGGATGGGGGTAACTATTCTGTATCAGCCCTGGATGGATGGAAAGGACTTTTCTTTCCTTCTTTTCCTTCTTTGTGCCTCCTCTATTCCCAACCCTCCACTCCCACCCAGGAGCAGAGGGTGATTTGTTTACTGGCTGCAATGAAACCCACCTAATATAAAGTCCATGGCTAAAGCCTGTGGACATCAGGGCAGCCTTAATGAAATTTCTTTGCCTGAAACACATTAGTAGGCACGAGCTGAGACTGGAAAAAAGATTAGACTGCTGAAGAGCTGGCAGAGCTGGAGCTTTCAGTGTGAAAATCAGCAGAGAGAGCATGGCAGAAAAAGGAGCCAGACTCACAAGGGGCTGATCTGGCTGTGCTAACATCCTGGCTGCCTGAGCCCCATGCTCATGCCTGTCCTTTTCCCAAATCCCTTCTGATCTCAGCCCTCCCTGTGGGCCTGCAGAGACCTCACATCTTCCCATCCTCCCTGGCCTGCAGCAGAGCTGGCAGAGAGGATGAGATCCTGTGATGGTCAAGGCAATAAGCTCCTGCTGGCTTGGTCAGGGAGAGGAGCCAAGGCTCTGGAAGCTCTGCAGAGATCTAGATTCCCTTGAAGCTGAGGCAAGGCCTGCATGCTTTTGCTTGATTTCCACTGCAGTTCTGTCCTGGATTTGAGTCCATTTTACACTGAGGCAGCAGAGATGCCCAAGGGCTGTGTTTCTGTGCAGAGAGCAGAAGGGAGGTCAGACACAGGGAAGCCCTCAGGCTGTGTTAATGTCTCCCTGAAGACAGGCAGCTGAGCAGATGGCATCTCAGAGCCCAGCACTGTGCTCACACCAGCAGCTTTTATAACCCTTCAGCTGATGACCCCAACGTGTCACCTCCCAGGTTTGCACCTGGAAGAGAGCATGGCTGGAAGTCCCTGCAGTGCAAGAACAACTTCAGTTTTGAGAGGAGCTGGCAGCTCCTCCCATCAGTCAAAGGTTCAGAGGCAAGGCTGTGCACACTGGAGCCAGAGAGCCAGGTGGGATTTGGAATGGGACACTTTCCTTCCTGGACACCTCTGTCCAAGTGCTGTCAGACATGGATCTGGGGGTGATTTGGTGGGAACTGGGCTAGAGAGGACTTCTCTCTCTGGTGCCACACAAGGAGATGCGCCCCTCTCGGGCCACCAAACCCTGCTGGCACAGCTGGCTTTGCCCAGATCACCCAGAGACCCTGAACTGCTGGGATTTGACACAGGCACAGCCAACATTAACCCTGAGTGTGGAGTGACAGGACAAGGGGCAATGGCTTCACACTGACAGAGAAGAGGTGAAGATTATATATTAGGAAGAAATTCCTCCCTGTGAGGGTGGGCAGGCCCTGGCACAGGGTGCCCAGAGCAGCTGTGGCTGCCCCTGGATCCCTGGCAGTGCCCAAGGCCAGACTGGACAGGGCTTGGAGCAGCCTGGGACAGTGGGAGGTGTCCCTGCCATGGCAGGGGTGGAATGGATGAGCTTCAAGGTTCCTTCCAACCCAAACCATTCTGAGATTCTGATTTGCACAATTTCTCTGTGCCTTGAAATGTGGCCATCAGTCATGGCATCGAAAAACCCGTTACCTTTCTTTAAAAAGCAATGAATAATTATCAAACTATTGCAGGACTGGTCCTTCAGTTCCTCTATTTTTCTTTAATTCCAGCATAGTCTGGCTCTGACTGCCTCCCAGAAGACAAATGTTTGACTTTTCTGCTGTACCCTTTCAGATGCGTTACAGACCTGTGATCTTGTCTGTGCTCTTAATGGCTTTGTCAAGAGATCATTTCTGCTCAAGCCTTGTTAGTCTTAATAAAGATTAAATAAAGCCATGAATACATTTGTGGTTTCCTTTTTGCTGGGCTGTAATTTGACTAACAAGTTAAATTAATTTGGAAGCTGATAATTATTTGGTTAGAAGTCGATGGAAGGAAGTTTAAGTTGAAAATGGACTTTCCATGGGAAGAAAAGGGATACCAGTTTTTAGAAATATAAACTGAATGTGGAAAACAGGATGAGTGACATTTTGAAAATCCTTTCTCATTAACTGCCTTTAGCTTTCAGTATATGTCATTTTTATCCCCATTTGTAAAGCTAATATTTCTTTCTGTCACATCTGTTGGGCAGACAAATCCATGAAGCCAGAAAATGTTGGTGAGGGAGTTACAAAAGCAGGGAGATCATTGGAAAGATAACAGTCCATTTCCAAAGCTTGAATCCCAGAATGAATTCCTTTCCCCTGTGATCTCCAAATTCACATTCTGGAAAACAGTGTTCATGCTGTGCCACTACAGACCATCTTGTGATCTAAATGGAGAGAGTGTTTTGGCACTCTGTTTTCATTTGTTAATTGACTCCTCTCTTGCTTAAGATAGGAATTGGAGTAGTTTGTGATAAATGGATTACACAGTGCTCTTTGTTTCAGCACTAAGCTAGTGAAATAAATGTAAATCCCTCCCCACACCACCAGCAGCACTGCAGCAGGTAAATGTGCACAGGGACCTGGGTGCTCAAGGGACCTGAGAGTCCTGTCCTCTCCATCACTGGTGTTTAACACAATAATTTCTAAAAATGTGGATAAAGAACTCATGGAGCACAGTCCAGAATCCATCAATGCTTTTCCTGCATGATTTACAGTAATTCAGTCCCTGTGAGGGCTCACTCAAGTCCCTCACTCCCACATCCTTTGCACATCAGGTCTGGCTTCAGCAGGAAGGATGGAGAGACTCCAGTTTCTGCACAGTGCCCAGGATCCTGCCTGGAAGGGAGAATTTACTGTTGGGACACATCTCCACATCCAATCTTGTCAATGGGCTCCCTTTTTGCAAGGGAGCACTTCCACCAGGGAAGAGGTCTCAAAAGCTTTTTCAAACAAAAAGAGAGAGCCTTGCACAAAGCTCTGGCCCTCACTCCCAGATATGATTGCCAAAGAGGCCTTTGGATTCTCTAAACTTGACCAGAAATTCCCATTCTTTGGTCCCGCTCACAGGTTTCCTGGTTTAGCACTGGTGTTTTAGATCCAAGTTCAAAATACATAGTTCAGTTCACTTCATGTGCTTAATAAGAAAACAGCTCCATGCCTCACTCTGTCCTTCACTCTGGTTCTGACCTCAGGAACCAGAAGGTGCTGGCAAACTCTGCTGCAGCTCCATATGGTTGTTCTGTGGCTCCCTCTGCTCTTTGGAGGGGAAGGAAGGCATGTTCCTGCTCCCATCCAGGCTCCATTGCCAGGCTCTGATCTTCCAAATTATCACCCTGCAAAGAGACCTTTAACAAGGGCTGGCTTGTCCCCTCTGCTGGGTCTCCAGCCAGCATTTCTTCAGTGTCAGAGCTGGAACTCTGCATTTTTCTGCCTCTTCACTAGGATCTTCCTGCTTCTTATTCCCCCCTTCCCCTCACTCCCCATCCCTCTCCTCTCTTTCAACTCACTCCATCACCAGCACATTTTCACTGAGAAGGATCTCTCCTATGGTTTTTATTGCCAGCCCATGTTGTCCTGACATGAAAAGGAGACAACTTCCTCTTCAGAGGGGATTGAAGACTGCAGCCATAGTCTCAGCTTTATGTGGGATCAGAAATTGCCAGAAAAACATAAATCATAAGACCTAGAGCTGATTTGCAACAGGCAAGGCTTACAGTTCCTGGCACAACAGCAACACATTTGATTTTGGCTTGCACTGAACGAGATCCCTTCTCACTGATCCCACTGAGTAGTGAAAACCTGCCTTGGAGAGGGACTGGCAGATGTGAGTGACAACAAAAGGGCTGAGGTTGTGCCCCACTCAACCTTACAGGCTGTTCTCAGAGAAGCTGTATCCTAAAGATTCAAACACATTCTCCTTTTTCATCTTGCTGCTCATTGTTTTAACTCCACCAAATGCTGAGTTCATGGGAAATGAAGTTTCCCCCTTGCTGTGCATATTTCCAACTCCAACTTCCTTTCTTCAATAAGTCTTTGTAAAAAACCAACAACAACAAATCCATCTCCAAATAAACTTTGCAGAACAAATAAACAAGGAAAGTCCTTGTTGCTTCTACCAACGACTGCACAGGACTGATGGAGAGATGAGACAGTGCTGTAACTCCCTGAGGGATGGCTGATGTGACAGCATAAGCAAGCCAGAAGGAAGCAGAAGTAGTGTTGAGAAAAAAGAGAGGTTTCTGCATACAGGAGGGGGCCTCATGTCAATGCTCAGATTTGCCCTTGCCAACAGAAAAGGAGATGCAAGAGCCCTGGAGCTCTCAGCTCACTCCAGAACAGAACTGCTCTGGGCTGTGAAATCCCTGAGGACAGAAGGAAGAGACACTTGCCTGCAGCTTCACTGCACCCCTTGGAGCCTGGGTGATGGTGGAAGAGCTTCAGAAGGTACCATCTGGCTGGCAAGTGCTCTGGCACTTGAGTTGGCATTGAAATTCAGGGGAAACTTAGGCAAAGTCTCAGGCACCACCTTCTTCCTCCTCCCACATTACATGACACCCCACAGCTGAGCTGGGGAACAAGGCCTGAGCCCTGCTGACCCCATTCCCTCCCTGCAGCTGATCCCAGCCATGCCAGGGAAGTGGTTTGGCCCCTAAATGAATTCTGCTTGTGGTACCCAAAGTCCTGAGAAGCTGTAATTTGTCATTCACCACAGCTGCTGCTGTAGACACAAAGCCTGGCCCACAGGCTCAGCTGAGCCTTCTCCCCTTCTCCTGGGATCTCTCCATCCCTTTTCTCTCTCAAGTACCTGAAGTTAAAATAAAAATGGTAGGAACAAACACTGGGGAAAAATACCTCTAGTCAGATCAATGGATTTCATTTTTACAGCAGTCTTAAAAGTTTCCCTTTTCTTTAACAACATTTGTTTTGATTTTCTTTTGGTTTTCATCATAATAAAGTTACAACCTGAAACAAGGGGATAAAAAAACCAACTTTCAAGCAGGGTTTTTCTTAGTTTCTCTTCTCACTTAAAGCTGCCGCAATATTTAGAGTTGCTAAAATGAGGAAAAATTGCCCTTTTATTCTCACAAAAAGCCTGTTTCAAAGAATCAGCATTTTCCAATGAAAAATGGTTTGTTGAAATTTCCTAACAAGTGCTTTTCCTGAGAGCACTGAGCTTAGTCCTCCTAATGCTTCCTTTCCATGTGGAGGGTGTGGGTCCCCCTCAGCCCTCACAGGAGATGTTTGTGAGTATCAGGTCAGATAAAGTCTGCATGAGATCTGGAGCAGGATTTTTGTACTGGATTTCCCATTTTCTAGAGACTTCTGCAGATGTAACCTATTGTTATATGTTTTTTTTTCACTTTCCCCCCTTTCCCTAGCATTATTTTTTACCTCCAGCATGACCAGCTCCAGCAGTGGAGGCAGCCCTGTGTCCCAAACCCCAGCAGGGATGCTGTGCTTCCACAGCACATTTCTCCTGCAGACATGAGTTATCCTCCTGGGTGTAGGGTGGAACAGACACCCCCTCTTTCTCCCAGCTCTGGCAAGAGCCTGGATGTGGTCAGGCTTTACCAAAACAAAGTGCAGACCTGTCCTTGAGGCTGTGAGGGTCACTGCTGTGATAGAGTGGTAGCTTCTAACTCAAGCTAAAATTCTCCTTTTTGGGGTTTAGATGAGGTCAGAGTGGCCAGGCCACACCTTTCCTGCAGGATGATCAATACCACAGTCCATTTTAAAGTGCTGGAGTGTGGAAAAGGATGGGACTGAATCCTTGGAACAGCCTCGCTCCCCTGCCCAGGCCCTGCCTCCTGCCTCCACGAGCGGCTGCTGGCAGAAGATGGAGCCAATCTGCAAAATGAGCATCTCCATGGAGATAAGCTGGGAGCAGGAGAAGGTCAGAGCCAAAGCGTCAGGAGCAGCAGAGGAGTTCTTCAAACTTCATTTCCTTCCAGAGAAATCACTTGATGGAGATTTGTTGAACGTGACACCTGGCTGCCTCGCCTTGCTGGCTCGAACGAGGAGACAAAAGAGGGAGCTAATTGTTTCCAATGCGCTCAGGTTTAATATGGTGTGTTTTAATTAGGGCTGGAAAGGGGAAGGGAATCAATTACCTCTCACAGGGGCTGACACCACTGGCAGGTGATGCTGTGTGGAGAAAATAACTGGATGGCAGGATGTTGAGGCCCTGAAGGGGAGAGGCCGGGGTGCTCCTTGGGGAGTCCTGTGTGCCACATGCTCTTGGTGGCTCCAGGGAAGCTTGCCACGAAGTGGCATTGTGACACCACCCACAAGGACAAGAGCAGGGGCAAATGTTGCTGAACCACCCTGCCTTGGGGCTGCCCTTGTGCCTGGGGAAACTTTACAATCCCTTATCACTCTATAACTCCCTGGAAGCTGATTGTAATCAGGTGAGGGTCAGGCTCTTCTCCCAGGTAACAACTGACAAAACAAGAGGACACAGCCTTAAGCTGTGCAAGAGCAGGGGCAAATGTTGCTGAACCACCCTGCCTTGGGGCTGCCCTTGTGCCTGGGGAAACTTTACAATCCCTTATCACTCTCTATAACTCCCTGGAAGCTGGGTGTAGCCAGGTGAGGGTCGGGCTCTTCTCCCAGGTAACAACTGACAGAAGGAGAGGACACAACCTCAAGCTGTGCCAAGGGAAGTTTAGGTTAGACATCAGGAAAAAATTATTCACTGAAAGACTGATTGGGCACTGGAATGTTTTGCCCAGGGAGGTGGTGGAGTCACCATCCCTGGATGTGTTTAAAAAAAGCCTAAATGTGGCACTGGGTGCTGTGGTTTAGTTGATGAAAGGGTGTTAAGGTCATAGGTTGGATTTATGATCTCAAAGGTCTTTACAACCAAGTTCATCCAGGGATTCTGTAATTCTGTGGTCCTATGGGATCGTCT